ATGGCTGAGAGTCTTCGTGGCCAGCCGCCGCCCGCTTTCCGCTTTGCAGTCGCCCTTGCATCTAGCTCCTACCCGCTGGCCCAGCCTTCGTGCGGAGAGGCAAGTGACGGTGCATATTTTTATCGACGTAGTGCAAAGGTAGTGCAGCGCAGCACATTGCATCGCAGGTTTCTGTTGAGTGCAACGGAAGAAAGGGCCGGCTTGAGATCGGACTGGAGCTGGTGGCCCTGATGAATTTCGACTGCTGCAGGCAACGGGAGCACTGCTGTAGCGGACCCCCACGACCGTATTTTCGTCTCACCAACCCCGGCTGGGGGACGCCTTGGCGCCCTCGCCCTTGTGCGCCCCTGGTGGCTTGAGCGCCGATGCTGCCCAGTGAGCGTCTGCTGAAGCCACAAAGCCACCGTTTTGAGACGGCGCCCGTGTTCGGCAGATCACTGGACGTGCGCCGTCGTCCCACCTCAATGAGATGCGCCTAGACCACCGCGCCGGCGTCTGTCTTGCTGTTATTCGCGCTGGAGTAGCGCACGGTACGTAGCCACCGTTGCGGCACTGCTTTGTCTCCGTAGCGTCTCTGTCTCTACCGTCTTAGACAAAGACGCGTCGCGCTTGTCAACCTCAACGTCGACTTCGTATGTGCTGCCCCCGCGTCTCTATTCCACAGACACATGGCCGCATGTCCACCCGTAATGACGTTCTCTAGCGCCTCCTCTTGAATCTTGAATCCTGATTGCGCGACCAACGCGCTGGGGAATCGGAGTGTCACCTCGATCTTGCGTCCCATGGGAGACGACCGGGGGGGTCAAACGCACTTACAACCCGATGTTGACTTTTGGATGAGATCCAGCCACTACGATGGCGCCCAAGAGAAAGGCAGAGCCGCAACAGCGACCGGCCGAGGGCCGCTCTGACTCCAAAAGGCTCAAGGCTGACCGAGCCCAAAATGCCGTCAGGCAGTCGGTCCTTTTACAGTACTACGACAATGTGCAGAATCTCCGCGAATACCTGCTGTCTAGGCTCCCGAGCTCATCCAGGCTTCGCCGCAAGAAGATTGCCTCCATTGGACTATCACGCACATCCCTGGCCAAAGAAGCGCTCTCGGCAGAAGCCGACCTGTCAAAACTGCTAGACTCGACGCTGGTATGTATGCACCGTCAGACTAATACAAGGGCTGAATCTCGCTGGGAAAACTGGCGATCTTTCTCGCAAAAGGGCAATGATTCAAAGTGCGACGATTCTGTGATGTCACTGTCCGGAGGGCTAGCTGGCGCGACTTGCTCGCAGTCGGAGGTCGGTGCTGCTCTTGTTCTCCTTTGCTGTCCCATCTTAACAACGTCGGCAGATTGTAAATTTTGTCATTTGGCAACTCTTCTCCAGCAATCAGTCAGGTGGCTGGCCCAGGCATCTTCTCTGCGATGGCTTCCGAAGATACGCGCAAAACGCCGGCAACCCGCGAGAGCCCAGAAATGGCGACTGGCCGTCCGGTCTGTACCCGGTTCATCCCAACCATTTCGTCCAGACCCTCAAAGCTTCTCCGTGGCCGCAGCTTCTCATGCTGTTGGGGAAATCAGGCGAACAAATCATGGTTGACCTTCTCATTGACACGGCCATTTTCCTCCCTGCGCAAGCGGGTGTAGGGAACATGTACCAGCTCAGCGGTACGCCAATGTTCGCTGCAGACACGGCAAGATGGGAGCCGGCTGCGGCACAGAAGCCTGCAAAGGACTCGAATCTTGAATACGAGAGGCTGCCGTCAGAGCTGCTATTCATGAGGAATCGCATGCTGTATGCTCGGGCTGCTCTCACTGGCCGCGGGACTGTTCACTACGGATTCAGGCATATACGTGAGTCTCTGTTACCGTCATCAAACTGTGGCTAATATTGTCCTAGATGTTCTCAGCCGTTGCCCAAGGGTGACAGATTCCGCCCAGGCCGACCCAGATCAAAAGACGCGGCTGAATCAAAGCAACGAGCAGAACACGCTAAAGGTGATGATGTACATCTTCCCTCGTCAGTTTGGACTGCACAACGTTTTCAACTCCAAGGTCAACTATCTCAAGACCGCCCAGAAGCTCCCTGACTACACCCTCCGCGAAGAAGAGATCAACTCGCTGTTCAAGGATCAGAAGATTCGAACACCGAAAAGGCTACGAGGAGACGTCAAACGACTGGTCGAGCACTTGCAATCGCTTCATGGTCGCTGCGCGTACGTCGAACTGCTGCGCCACCACTGCCCGTCTGCAATCGATGGCACGACTCGGAAATCTGCGCACAAGAAGCCGGCCAAGCCGTCAGGCACGCAGCTCTCGCTCACCTATACACAGGCGACAGCACCCGCCAGTCGAAGCGCCGTCACGACAAAGCATCGCCACAAAGCTCGGCAACAGGCCCCTTCGATACCAATGATCAAGTTCGATGCCGTCACTGATCTGGCGACGCCGGCACCCCACGTGTCCGCCTTTTGCCGCGCCGTGCTGGCCAGACTGATACCGAGCGAATTCTGGGGCAGCGGTCCTGATCAAGCACATAATCGTGGTTTGGTCTTCAAGAGAGTTGACCACTTTGTCAGACTGAGAAGATTCGAAAGCATGTCCCTTGAGGAGGTGACTGACGGGATAAAGGTAAGCAGGTCTGCATCGTTGTTGAAGGTTCTCGTTAACAGCATGCTAGGTCACAGCCATGGATTGGCTGGCACCACCAAAACTGAAAGGCATGAAGACCAGCCAGTCGGACATGAAGAAGCGGCTCGAGATCCTGCACGAGTTTCTCTACTATATTTTTGATTCCATTTTGATACCCCTATTGCGCAGTAACTTTTACATTACGGAGTCGAGCTCTCACCGCTATCGGCTGTTCTTCTTTCGCCACGACGTATGGCGTTATGTGGCCGAACCAGCCATGGCGACGCTAAGAGCGAACATGTTGGAGGAGATGAGCCTAGGCGATGCAAACCGCATCCTTGCATCGAGGAGACTAGGGTTCAGCCGCATCAGACTACTCCCCAAGGGCAAAACCATGAGACCCATCACAAATCTGCGGAGGCGGGCAGTTGTCCAAGGGAGAAACGCACTTGGGCCGAGCATCAACTCCGTCCTCGGTCCTGTCCATTCAATGCTCAAGCTGGAAACCGTAGGGTGCCTCCGTGTTCCACATCGATAGTGCTAACGACTACCAGGAGCGTAACCCATCCAAGCTCGGCTCGTCCATGTTCTCGGTGGGCGACATTTACACACGGCTCCGTTCATTCAGCGCAAGCTTTGGCGAGGACAGTCCGACCTTTTACTTTGCAAAAGTGGACGTGCAATCCGCCTTCGACACCATCCCTCAAGATGCCGTCGTTAGGCTCATGGGAGGCGTCCCGAGCCAAGCGCAGTATGTTATCAAAAAGCACCTCGAAGTCAAGGCCGGTTTGGTGGACCCTCGGCTCCAACGGCGCCCTGCTTCGAAGCTTACAAGGCGATGGCACTCGCTCGCCAGCACTCGAGATGACCCAGCCGGCTTTGCGCAGGTTGTCCAAAAGCGCCTCGGCCCAAAGAGAAAGAATGCCGTGTTTGTGGGTAACATTTCGCGGAAAGAGCACGCGACAGGGTATCTCATGGAGTTGATGGAGTCGCACATTCAGCACAATCTCGTCAAGGTCGGCAAGAAGTACTACAGGCAGAAGAAGGGCATCCCGCAGGGTTCTGTCTTGTCATCGGCTCTCTGCAACTACTTTTACGCCGACCTCGAAGCAGAGCGTCTTACTTTCCTTCGCGGCAAGGATTGCCTGCTTCTGAGGCTCATTGATGACTTCCTCCTCATTTCGACGAGCCAGAAGAAAGCCCGCAAGTTCGTCAAGGTCATGCACGGTGGTGTTCCCGAGTACGGCGTGGCAGTCAACCCCAACAAGACGCTGGTCAATTTCGATCTGGAGCTTGGCGGCGTGAAGGTATCCAGGGCACTAAAAGCGAACCCATTTCCCTACTGTGGCTTGAGTATTGATTGCAAAACGCTTGACATTATCAGGGACCACGACACGGCGAAGGGGGCTGCAATCTCGAACGCCCTGACTGTCGACTACGGAGTCAAGCCAGGGCAAAACTTCCAGAGAAGGGTCCTGAGTAGGTTATCCGACCGGAATCCTCTTTCCTTTACTGACTCTCGCAGACGCCTTCAAGATCCAGTCCCATTTGATGTTCTATGACACCCGACACAACACGCTCGAGACCGTCTTCTGCAACCTCCACAAGGCCTTCACGGAGACGGCAGAAAAGATGCTGGCTTACTGGCGCTGTCTGCCAGCTGCGAAGCGACCCAGAAGCCGCATGCTCACGCGTAGGTGTCTATTGTTACGACTGGTTGTCATTTGGCTCACGTTCTTTCAGAAACCATCAACAGAATCATCGACGTGGCATTTGTGCTCCTCACAGGCAAGGCGAGGAAAGAGAAGCACCCGGATTACAGCTGCGCCATGGAGAAGACTCACGTTACCTGGTTAGTACACTTTCGCGCGTGCGCAACTACAGCAGGCTGACATTTGACCAGGCTGGCACTTGATGCCGTGAGAAAGGCCTTGCTGAAAAGGCAGGCGAACTTTTCACCGGTCCTTGGGTGGATTGATGCCGAGCTGAGCAGACTCGACACAGCGAAGACTGCACGGGTAAAGAAGTACATTAAGTAGTACAGGAGCAAAATATAATCTTGCGGAGACTTCTGATGCGATCCACAGCTAGTCGTGTTGCCGCAGCCAGGGTGTCATGATGTCTTATTGGCGGCCTATCCCCGTGTCACCCTGTGCGATCCAGTTTGCGTGTGCCAGGCGTTTTCGAGGCTGTCGGCATCCGGGCGACCTGCCACATGTGCCACAGAGTGGCCGTACGTCTTGAGGAGCACTGCACTCTTCTCGAGGCTGTCGGCGGTGATGGGAGGCATCTTTGGTCCCCTGAGATGCACTGATCAACCAGACTTCCATCACCAGCATTCGGACTCCGCAGTGAATACATCCGTTCCAATCCGTCACGATGGACGAATGCGAACGCCTGTTCCTTGAGAAGATCGCCGTGGCAGAGACGTATCCTGACTCCTTGATACGCCAGGACGAGCGACGCCCGGCGCTTCGGTCATGCCTCGAGCACTATGCAGCAAACAGAGACGCAATATTTGATGGGCCTCCGTCGAGGATCGATACGCCGTTGATCATCATAGACTTTGACGACGCCGAGTCATGGAGCAAAGAAGAGGGGCCGAGACGGGTGAATCTGCACATCATCCGTAACGTAATTGGGCTGCGCAGAAAGCTAGCGTGGCCCAGCCCGTCCGAGATTACGATGGAATCGGCGACGCTCGTGAGGGATCCGGCTCTGAGAATAGTGTACGCCGCTACTCGGCTTCAGAAAACTGCCAGCTGACGGAAACACCAGGCTACTGGAACGCTTGAGCCCGACGTCGCTGCTGCTCAACCTCAGCGAAAAGGTCCTGCTGGAGCTCCTGACGTACCACCAGGTCCCGTCCTGCCTGCTCAACTTCCTCACGAGCGGCGGCGAGTCGTGGAGTTTTGCGAGCAGCATGCGCTTCGCTGGGTTTCGGGGCACGACGAGCCTGGCCTCTACACAGCGCGCGGCTGTGCCGAATCTTGGCCGGAGCGGCTCGCACATTCAGCTCTGCTTCACAATGTTCAGCATGCGGAGGTACCCCCTCCACGCGTGGCCCAAGGGCGAAGACCCGAGCAAGACGCCGCGTTGGCAGCCCCACGCGGCGGCGGTGTACGTCCACTTTGACGTTGTTGAGGGCACGGCGGTCTGGCTGCTCACGAGCCCGCGGAGCTACCACCGGGGGAAGGGGAAGGGCACGCAGAATCTCCTGTGGGATACGGTCAAGGAGAGGTTCGAGGGGACACTGGAGGGGATGAGCGCGCTAGGGGTGGCCGACCGGTTCCGGGTCAGTCTGGAGAGCCTCCTTGCTGTTGTCGAATGGGCTGTGGAAGAGCTCTCACCGCATTTCCAGGACCTGGAACTGCATCTGTCGAAACTGGTAGGTTTGGGCTTGTTGATCAACGACACGAACTGCTAAGAATTGGTCTGCAGACAAAGCCGTACCTGCATCCCTTTGGCGACGAAGACGACGCGCAGACGGATGCCATCCACGAAGTAGATCTCCGTCGCATGGCGTTCCTCATGGAGCAGCGTCACCGCAGCGCCATGAGGGTCGACAGCAACCTCCGCGTCCTCCGACGCCTCCGAGAATTTCTCACTGAACAGGTTAGCGACGAGCTAGACAGGCTTGATCTTCGCCACGCAGGCGAGATGCAGGCGCACTTGGACAAGTTCAAAGGCGAGCTATCGTCAGCGATGGAGGAGATGGAGGACTTGATGCAGCGGGCGCAGGCTCTGGACCAGCTGGCCGGGAACCGAGAGGAATACGTGAGTCGTGAACGATGCCCCCCGGTCGGGGTCCGCCGAATAACGCGTTGTCAAAGATTCAACGGATGCAGACGCACCATGCGAACCAGCAGATGAAATCCATCGCCGAGTTGACCGCAGATGACTCGGCCGCAATGAAGCAGCTCTCTTTCATAGCATTGATCCTGCTGCCAGTGACTGTCGTATCGGTGAGCAACAAGACCCCGAACGAAAGCAAGGTGTTGGGATGGACAGCCGAGACGACGGCATGGGCTGATCGGATGAGCACAACTCGTTTGCGCGAGTTAGACCGTCCTGAGTACAGACATTGTAAAGTTTCAGGACCTTCCAAACGAAAACGAAAGCGCTTCTGCCGCCGGGGGGGGTCCTCCCGACGCGCCCGTCCCGTTGTACAGCTTCTCGGTCGCGGCGTTCGGGACATGGGCCATCGCGAGCCTGGTCATGACGGTCGTCACCCTCGCCATCGTCAAGCCGCTGGGTGGGAGGCGGGGTGCGAACAAGAAGACCAGATTGCGGCTCCCGCGGCTATCGATGCCTTGGAATCTTGGAGGCGTGGCTCACACGGGCGAGGGGCAGACGACCACGCCACCCGAGCCAAGCCCGGTTGCGCGATCGATCCACACGGCGCCGGCGGTGGGCAAGACGGCATCACAGTGTCCAGAAACTCCGGTAGTGGGTGTGGGCGGTCCCGTCCAAGCCGGGGCCTCCCAAATGCTGACGTCGATGGGACGGTGGCTCAGGGGGGCTTGGGGGACCCTGTGGCGGTGGCAGACGAGCAGGACAAGAGAGACGACGTCGACGACTGCGGCGGCGGGGGCGGGGACTGGTTTACCCCGTTGAACCGTAAAAGACCAAAGGAAGCGCCGTTGTCCGAACGTTTGATGGTGGTGGGCAGAGAAACTGGTTGAAATCGCGGGGAGGGTTTTGTGCTGCATCATGTCATTAGCACCGTCGAATTAAGGTGTGATGGTTGGGTAGCAATCTAGATCGCGATTGCTTTAGGGGGGAGGGAATCGAGTGCCGGGGTGGGCAGATTGACAGCCCAATTGGCAGATCGATTGGCCCCCTTGATTTGCGATATCCTTCCAAGGTTAAGGCGTACATGTTTGACACCGTCAGCTCCAATGAGCCTCACCTTGTTTTCGCTTCTCGCTTGTTTGCTTTGTGTCGTCGAAAAGTGGATTGTCGTGCCGATGCTTCTCTTCTCCATCAGATTGCCACTTTCGACCTCGCATGATGCGGTCGGTGGTGATTGGGAGGAGTCCATGATGGGATTTGGTGGGAAAATGCACCCAAGCATCCGCGGTTTTCCACGTGAAGCGCCCCTGCGACTCGTCCCGAGGGCAAAAGAGGCAAGTCGTGGCAGTGCCCCGCCCCGAGTCGGCGTCGTAGGTCGTCGTCCCGTACTCGTGTACGCTTTGCTGTTGCTGCTGCTGCTGCTGCTGAGCTGAGGTGAGAGACACTGGATGGACCAGACTGAAGCAGAGACCGCCCGCCGGAGCCGCTGAGGGTCCCCGGCGGCCAGCGAATCAGCCCACTACAACGCACCGTGGGTGGGTGAGCGAGTCCGCTGCAGCGCCCCGCCATGATTCGTCGTCTTCGGACCCGGCAGGGAGCCACCTCGCCCACCGCTGGTCGCCTCCAGGGGCCACCCCATCACCCGAGGCAGGACCGTGGGTGGGTGGCGGCCCGCCTGGCTGACGTGGGGCGAGTAGCATGCCGCGCGCCGGGACTTGGATCGACCGGAGACTTGTTGGTTGACGTCAGACGAAAGTTGATGCGGCGACTCGACTCAAACATGGTTATCTTTTCTTTCGTCTCGTCTTTTGGCCTGCATTTATTCCACATCACGCACACATCTCTGCCTTCCTTGCTTATCTCTGGCATATCTCTCGTGCTTGCTTCCTCGCCGCGGCCGCACCCCTGCTCGCATTGCAATGTCATCCCATCCCCCATGATATCCTGCTACCTATTTGAGGGAAGCGTTTTGTTTCCAAAGCGGCGAAACGGATCTTCGACTTGAGAATCGCCTCGGGAGGGTTGACACACCTTTACACACCAACTCGTCTTTCTCGTCCTTGCTTTCCATCCTCTCTCTGTGTGTCTGTTTGTCTGGAGGAGCGCTATTACCACCACCCACCACAAATCGCCGCACTCTTACTCTCGCACACACGCCACATGTCGCATAACCTGAGCCCGACGCTTTTGTCCACTTCCGAGGCCTTAAATCCTCCCATTCCCTTCCCTCTCGCCTTCGGATCGGGCTTTCCACGTCCCCCGTGCTGTCCTCCAATCGTAATCGGGTTCGGTTTCTCGTCGTCTTTCGTCCCGCCTCCTTGCCTCCCAACCGGGGTCGTCCAAGCACGACGGGAAGACTGCGGGGCGGTGGATGGTGCGTTGGTTGCGGGATGCTGCAAGACGTTCGGGAAAACGCAGCACAACATTCTCACGACGACTCGTGAGCCTTGGTCGTAAATAAAAAAAAGTCCGTTAGCTGGAGAATCCCTGGTTTCCGGCCCTAGTCGCCGCTTCTTTGGCTTCCCGTACTCGGGGCGAACCGGCGGTGTCCTCGTACATCTGCGTGCTATATCCGAGTCAGACAAGCCACGCAGAGGCGGCTGACAATGTTTTATTTATACTACCGGCCCTTCTCCTGAATATTGTCACTGTCTTACGATCTGCAGGCCAGTCTGATCAGTCTCCCCCCGCCTTCTCTGGACATTGAACGTAACCTGTCACGGTTGATCAGAGACATACCTCGTCCAACATGGCGGCTGCCATCACAGCAACACTGGGCGTGCCCAACATGACGGCGCCTATCCTCGCCAACTTCTCCAAGCCGGCCGCGGACCTGGTCAACGCCAGCACGCCGCTCCTCGCCGCCGTTGTGCGCGACAGCTACCGCGCCGTCTTCAAGGCCCGCGTCGCGGCCGGCGTCTCCAAGCCCTTCGTGCTGCCCTACGGCATCTTTGGCACCTTTATCCTGCCCATCCTGTATATGACCATCCCGCACAGGAAGCGCCCGTGGGTCTACGCCGCGAGATGGCTCGTGCTGGCCTTCATCATCGCCTTCAACATCAAGATCATGCGCGAGACCTCCAGCACCAACATGTCCATGGGCTACACGAGCGGCCTGTCTGCGTTTTGGGGGATGCTGTCCAGCGTCACCAACCTCGTCTTCACCGCCCCGCAGTTTGACTTTGAGAGGGTGGCGAGGAGGAAGATGAGCAAGACTGCCACGTCGTCGCCCAAGCCCTCGAGGAAGTCGAGCCGATCCAACTCGCCTGCTGCGCGGTCAAATTCCCAAGGCGGGCTGCGCAAACGGGCCGGCAGCAAGAGACGACGGAACAACAAGGCCACGGCACCGGACGTCAACGTCGACAAGTACGAATACTACTGGCAGTCATACCCGGAGAACGGCACCTTTGTCGAGCGTCTGGGCTGGGTCGTGGACTTGTACACCAACTTCCGAGGCGTCGGTAAGTGTGAAGCTTCTGGAGGTACTGTACCGTATACTGACAAAAACAGGATGGTCGTGGGCTGTTTCGTCCGTACCTAGCCCTGCTCCGCCTGAGCACCCGCACACCGAGGAGCTCGTCAAGATGGAGACGATCCCGCTGGAGACCTTCGTCGGCTGCCAGACGTATAAGGACGAGCGCGACTTCTTGTGGCGGAAGCTCATCCCCGTCTCCCTCGCGTACATCATCCTCGACATCTTCAAGGTGAAGAGCACCGAGGACCCGTATTTCATCTTCGGCAGCACGCCGTTCCCGCTGCCTCCTCACCTGGCATCCACTCCTCACTGGCTCTTGTCCGTCTACCGTCACTCCGGCATCATCTGCACGTTGTACGCCTCGATTGTCATGGTTTTCTCTGTTCACGATCTATTCCAGTACTACGTCTTCAGCAAGGTCTTCCCCATGCGCGGCGAGCTGTGGCAGTACTCCTCCGTCTTTGGCTCCTTCTCCCAGGTCTTTGACAGGGGCCTGGCCGGGTTCTGGGGCGCCTGGTGGCACCAGACGTTCCGCCACTCCTTCTCCGCCCCCGGGAACTGGCTCGTGCAGCACGGGTATCTGAAGCAGGGCACAACGACGACGAAGCTCATTATCATGTCCATCGCCTTCTGGCTCTCCGGCCTCCTCCACGGCGCCGGCAGCGTGACGGCGATCCCCGAGACGAACTGGCTGAAGCCCTGCTCCTTCTTTTGGGCGTCCGGCGTCGGCGTCCTGCTGCAGAAGGCCTTCTGCACGACCTTCAAGTCCCAGATCGCAAAAATGCCCCGCATCGTGAGGCGGTTCGGAAACTTGATGTTCGTCCTCGTGTGGCTGCAGGTCACCGTCAAGCCCCTGGCGGATGACTTCGCAGAGACCGGTCTGTGGCTGGTCGAGCCTGTGCCCGTGTCTGTTGTGCGGGCGCTGGGTTTCGGTCGGGGGGAAACGTCGTGGTGGAAGCCCGACATGGAAGCGATCGGACGTTGGCATACTGGTGAGCATTGGTGGGAGAGCGGGTTCGGTTACTAGAGCATCGGCGCAAGCCACCTTCATGATCATGTTGCGACGAAGTCATGCATAGTTAGTATTTTGATAGACCTGACATGTATTCCTTCTCTCTCTGAGCGTCCGTCTTGCCTCCGATCTGCTGTACGTCAGTCGACTCTGCTGGTTCCGTCTTCTCCTTGGCCAGGTCACAACCGCCATGACTGACTTCATTGGTGCTGTATCGCAACATAATGTCGTTCCTCTGCTTTTGTGTCAACTTACGAGGGGCACAGACGTGCTACGAGCTGTCTCCCGCAAACTGGGTTAAGCTGTCAGTAGACCACTTCATGAAACCGCCTGCGTGGCACTCACATGTTTGACATCAAATGTCGAGGAGGGGTAGTCGGGGAATATCTCTTCCAGGCCCTTCTTGAGATCTTCCTTCTTCAGCCCCGACATTGGGAATCTCTCTCGGTATCCCCTAGTCATGCTTGGCTTCCTTCGTGTTGATCCCCACATGGCTGACATGGCTGCGTGTGCGCAGGCTTCGATTTGGATTGGTGTACAGAGATGCGTTTGAAGCAGAAGCAGAGTCGAAATTCGCTGGCAGTCTGTGGTACTTGAATGGTGGAATGTATGGCCCAATGTTGGATTGTGAGTCGATGGAGTCGCGTGGGAGTCGATGGGGTTATGAGTCGG